TCTCTCAGTTCAGGCCATGGAAGGTTCTCCCTCACTCAAGACCATATCACCAATGTGCAGCCTGAGACTTTCCAAACCAGTAGCTGCTACCTGTGCTGGCTGCCAGGTTCCCATGAAGCCCACCATGAACTAGGATCAGGGATGGCCTCCTTCTATCAGTACCCAGGTGTGGGACTATGCGCAAATCACTTCCTGCTGCCATTTCTTGTCACAGGCTCTTGACTGATCCCAAGATCCAATCCAGGTCTTGGAAGAATTAAAGAGCTTCCCAGCAGCCTAGATTGCTTTTTACCTGTAGCCTAGATTATTTTAAAATAATTGCAGATATATAGAATAGTTGCAAAAATAGCATACACGATTCCTACATAAACTTTATATTTTTCACCGTTATATTTTTCACCAACTTTATATTCTTCATATGTTAACATTTCCTACATTTTTCTTAATCATTTGCCCTGTACTTTATTTTTTCTGAAATGTTTCAGAGTAAGTTACAGACATGATGCCCTCTTACCTCTACATACTTCAGAGTGTTTTCTATAAGTAATGACTCTTCCCTTCTCCCTCCCTCCCTCCTTCCTTCCCTCTCTTCCTTCCTCTTTCTTCTTTCTTTTTCCTTTTTTTTTTTTTTTTAAATAGGGTATCACTTTTGCATAGGCTGGAGTGCAGTGGCGCAATCATGGCTCACTGCAGCCTTGACCTCCTGGGGCTCAAATGATTCTCCTGCCTTAGCCTCTTGAATAGCTGGGACTACAGGTGTGAGCCACCACATCTGGCTAATTTTTTTGTGTTGGTAGAAATGGGGGTCTCCCTGTGTTGTACAGGCTGGCCTTGGACTCGTGGACTCAAGTGATCTTCCTGCCTCAGCCTCCCAAAGTGTTGGGACTATAGGCATGAGTCACACTGCACATGGCCAAAATAATGCCATTTTCTTACATAAACATAGTACAATTATGAAAATCAGGAAATGATCATTGATACAGACTATTTTATGTACATATATATGTATGTGCTTAATTTTTTTGAAACACAGTCCCTGCTGCCTAGGCTGCAGTGCGGTGGCAGGATCATGGCTTAGAGCAGCCTTCACCTCCCAAGGCTCAAGTGATCCTCCCACCTCAGCCTCCCTAGTAGCTGGGACTGCAGGTGTGTGCTACTACATCTGGCTAATTTTCGTATATTTGGTAGAGAAGAGGTTTTGCCATGTTTCCCAGGCTGGTCTGGAACTCTTGGGTTCAAGTGATCTGCCCATCTCAGCCTCCCAAAGTGCTGGGATTACAGGCATGAGCTCTCAGATGATACAAGACTATTTTCTAATCTACAGACTTTATTCAAAATTTACCAATTTTGAGATTTTGAAAATAAACTTCATTTTGTAAGACCCACCTTCACTGAGATTTTGCTATGAATTAAGTCATCTCCATTTTTGGACTTTGAGAGAATTATTTTTTGTTTTGGTATTTGTTTGAGTAATGCTATGTGCATTTTTTGTACCTACAGGTTTTTAATCTCTTTTCAAATTATTTCTTTAAGATATCCATTTCTACTCAGGGTTGTTGGTCAAAGGGTATAAACATTTTGATGGCTTTGGTAAGATGAACTCCATTCTCTTGAGAGGAAGCTTACACAATGTGTGAAAGCAGAAGTATTGGAATGAAACAGACCTTGTTTAAAGTCCTGTTTGTAACACTTGCCAGTTATATGATTTCTCTCAAGCGTCTTCCACTTTCTGAGTGCTTCTTTCTTTATTTGAAAAATGGAAATTACAATTTGTACCCTGCAGAGTTGTTTGAAGTTTAAATGAGAAAAATTTATGTAATACATTTAGCACATTATGACAATAGGTATTATGATTTTCTCCTCTTTGGATTGTAAATTCCAGGAGGGCAAGGTTGTTGACTGTCTTGATCCATATGTTGTCTCTGGCACCTAGCACAATACTTGGTGCAAAGTAAGTACTGAAGAAATATTAATCAAAAAGATGAATGTCATAGATTCTAATATGGTACCAGCAGTAACTTTTAAATTCTATGTGTTTTCTTGCAGTCCTATAAGCATAGAATTTCATCAAGAAGAAAGCCTTTCTGCTCTCTGCTATTTTAATGTGTTCTTTTCTAATTAGCATCTTATGTTTTTATTATCTTTTTTTAATTTTTATTTTTTGTAGGGGGCATCTCACTGTGTTGCCCAGGCTGACCTCAAACTCCTGGGTTCAAGCGCTCCTCCCCCCTTGACCTCCCACGGTGCTGGGATTACAGGTCTGAGCCACTGTGCCTGGCCTGCTTTTATTATTTCTTTTTCTTTCTTTCTTTCTTTCTTTTTTTTTTTTTTAGAGACAAAGTTTCCCTCTGTTGCTCAGGCTGGACTGCAATGGTGCGATCTTGGCTCACTGCAACCTCTGCCTCTTGGGTCCAAGCGATTCTACTGCCTCAGCCTCCTGAGTTGCTGGGATTACAGGCACCCACTTCCATGCCTGGCTAATTTTTATAATTTTTGTAAAGGTGGGGTTTCACCATGTTGACCAGGCTGGTCTCGAACTCCTGGCTTCACTTGGCCTTCCTGCTTTGGCCTCCCAAAGTGCTGAGATTACAGGCATGAGCCACCGCTCCTGGCTATTATTTTTTACATAAATTTTACATATACATTGGTTAGGGCTTCTTTTGAATGTGCCAATGAGAAAATAGCCATTGTTTGGTCAATGAAAAAGATGGGTTTTTCATAGACGTTCTATCTTTCCTTTCTTTGAATAAAGTTTAAACAGGTTCAGTGTCAAACAAGTTAAACCACACATTTTACCTTTCCAAAAATGGAGTTGACCTGACCAAAGGGTTGACACCTTTGGATAGTTCCTACATTCTTACATCATTGCTAATACTTACTAAATTGATAGGATGGTTATAACAGAGCTTTTGACACTTAAATGTGTATATGAATCACATAGGATGTGTTAAAATGAAGACTGATTCAGCAGATCTGGAGAACACACTTTGAGTAGCAAGGGTATACACCAGTCTTAAAGGTGAAAAAGTGAGAGAGATCAGTAGTTACATCAGGTTGAGGGATCAAGGCAGGGTTCTTTTTATTTCAGGATGGGAATTACTTCAGTGTGTTCATTGGTCCAGTGAGTTCATAACTACTCTGTTCATTTCTGAGTCACAAGGGCTATTCAAGACGTGGCAAATACTGCTTTTCTGTATACAGAGGACTTCCAGGTCCATTGTTTGAGTCAGTGTTTCACAGCCTTTTTTTCATTATCATCCCCTTAAGGAGCCCTTTTAGATATTCTTATCCTCATTGCAACCCACATCGATTTTTTTATATGACAGTTTTAATGAGACATAATTCACATCCATACAAGTCATTTGTTTCTATTATACTCACAGAGTTGTGCAACTATCACTACAGTTTTATAACATTTCATTACCCAGTGAATATACCCATTAGCAGTCCCTCCCCATTTTCCTTCAAGCCCACAACCATAGGCAATCACTCATTTATTTTTCATCTCTATAGATTTGCCTATTTTCTTTCCTTTCTTTTTTTTTTTTTTTTTTTTTTTTGAGAGTTTTGCTTTTGTCACCCAGGCATGCCACTGCATCTGGCTAGTTTTTGTATTTTTAGTAGAGATGGGGTTTCACCATGTTGGCTGCCACGTTTGTCTTGTACTCCTGACCTCAGGTGATCCACCTGCCTCACCCTCCCAAAGTGCTAAGATTACAGGCATGAGCTACTGTGCCCTGCCTTTTCTTTTTCTTCTTCCTTCTTCTTTTTTCTTCTTTGTCTTTTGAGATCTCACTCTGTCACCCAGGCTAGAGTGCCTTGACATGAACTTGTCTCACTGCAGCCTTTACCTCTTGGGCTCAGGTGATCCTCCAGCCTCAGCCTCCTGTGTAGCTGGGACTACAGGTTTGCACTACCACACCTGGCTAGTTTTTTATTTTTTATAAAGATGGCATCTTACCATGCTGCCCAGGCCGGTCTCAAACTCCTTGGCTGAAGCAACTCTCCTACTTTGGCCTCTGAAAGTGCTGGGATTGCAGATGGGAGCTACCACATCCAGCCTGATTTGTCTATTTCATGTAAATGGAATCAAACCACATGTGATCTTTTATTACTGCTTTCTTTTACTTTTTGAGTGTAATTTATTTTTATTGTATGTATTTGTATTCATTTATTTTTAAAAACATTGTGAAATGTCAAACATAAAAGTAGAGAGAGTAGTATAATGAACTTGATGTGCACATCAACCCTCTTCAACAGTTATCAACTTATGACCACTTTTGTTTTATCTGTATACCTATCTACTTTCCCTTTTCCCATTGGATTATTTTGAAGCAAGTCTCAAATAACATATTACATTTCCGTATTTACCTCACAAAATAAGAACATTATCACACCTAAAGCAATTTAAAATCTTTTCTTGGCTGGGCGTGGCAACACACGCCTGTAATCCCAGCACTTTGGGAGGCCGAGGTGGGTGGATTGCTTGATCCCAGGAGTTTCAGACCAGCTTGGGTAACATGGTGAAACCCCTTTTCTACAAAAAAATAGAAAAATGAGCCGGGCATCTTGGTGTATGCCTGTAGTCTCAGCTATTAAGGAGGCTGAGGTGGGAGGATTACTTGAGCCCAGGAGATCGAGGCTGCAGTGAGCAGAGATTGTGCTGCTACACTTTAGCCTGGGTGACAAAGTGAGACCTTGTCTGAGAAAAATACTAAAAATTAACATTTTTCCTTAATAATAAAATAAAGATTAAATATGCAAATTTGAAAATTTGAAAATCAGGATTCAAAGTTCATATATTTCACCAGATTGATATATTTCTTTTTTTTTCTCTTTTTTAGATAGGGTCTGGTCGTGTCACTCAGACTGGAGTGTAGTGGCACGATCATGACTTACTGTAGCCTTGACCTTCTGGCTCAAGCGATTCTCCCAACTCAGCCTCGCGAGTAGCTGGGACAACAGGCTTGTGCCACCATGCCTGGATAAATTTTTATAATTTTTTTGTAGAGACAGAGTTTCCCTTTGTTGCCCAGGCTGGTCTTGAACTACTGAATTCAAGCGATCCACTTGTCTTGTTCTCCCAAAGTGTTGAAATTACAGGTGTAAGCTACCATGCCCTGCCAATATGTTTCTTAAATCTGTTTTAAAAATGCCACCTCTTTTTTTTTTTCTACAGTTTTCTTGTTGAAGAAATTGGTAGTTTGACCTATTCTGCATTTTAGTGATTGTCATTTTACATGTTCCCCTGTTTCTCATATATATATATATATATATATATATATATATATATATATATATAGCTAGCTAGCTAGCTAGATAGATAGTGTGTGTTTTCTATTGCTTTATACAGGAGGTACATAATATCTGGTTATTTCCTTTTTTTCCTGTGATTTTAAGATTCATCAGTGTTTGTAGAGGTTTTCAACTTGATCTTTGCGTTATGACATTTCCCATCAGCTTATCTTTTACCTAATGGTTTTAGCAGTTATTGCTTAGATATGCTATTTTATTATGGGTTGCAAAATTATGATATTTTAATTCTATTATTACAACTTTATTTTTTATTTTTATTTTGCAGTAAACAAAATGTTTGATTGAGTTGAGGCAGGCCACATGGTTCTTCTTTTCCTTTTTTGGAACAGAATTTTGCTCTTGTTGTCCAGGCTGGAATGCAGTGGCGTGATCTTGGCTCACTGCAACCTGTGCCTCCTGGGTTCAAGTGATTCTCCTGCCTCAGCCTCCTGAGAGCTGGAATTGCAGGTACCTGCCACCATGCCTGGCTAATTTTTTGTATTTTTAGTAGAGACAGGGTTTCATCATGTTTGCCAGGCTGGTCTTGAACTCCTGACCTCAGGTGATCCACCCACCTTGGCCTCCCAAAGTGCTGAGATTACAGGTGTGAGCCACCATGCCCAGCTGTTTCTTCATTTTTAAAACTACTTTTTCTCTTGTTTCTTGTGTTTTGGGTATCATACCTATGAAATCATTGCTTAGTCCATGGTCATGAGATTTATCCCTATGTTTTCTTTTAAGAGTGTTATAGTTTTAGATCTTGTATTTAGGTCTGTCAGCCATTTTGGGTTAACTTTTGTGTACAGTGTGAGGTAAGGTACAACTTCATTCTTTTGCAGGTAATATACGTTTGTGCCAGCACCATTTGTTAAAGAGAGTATTCTCTCTCCACTGAATTGTTGAGACACCTTTTTTGAAAATAAATTGACCACAAATGTGAAGGTTTATTTCTGGATTCTTAATTTTATTTTATTGATCTATATGTTTATGCCAAGACCACATAGTCATGATTACTGTAGCTTTGTAGTGAGGTTTTAAATTAAGAAGTGTGAGTTCTTTAACATTGTTCTTTTTCAAGATGGTTTTGACTATTTTTGGTTCCTTTAATTTCCATATGAATTTCAGATCACCATGTCAACTTCTGTCAGAAAGACAGCTGGGACTTTGATAGACATTGCAGTAGAGCTGTGGAACAATTTGAGGGAATATTTCCGTCTAAACAACAATAGGTGTTCTGATACATGAACATGGAATGCCTTTCAATTTATTTATGTGTTCTTTCAATTCTTTCATCAGTGTTTTGTAGTTTCCAGTGTACAAAGTTTGCAATTAATTTGTTAAATTCATTTCTAAGTATTATTTTTCAGGCCATTGTTCGTGAAACAGTGTTCTTTAGTTTTGCATTGTTTATTGCTAGTGTATAGAAATGCACTTTGTGGGCTGAGTGGGATGGCTCATGCCTATAATCCCAGCACTTTGGGAGGCTGAGGCGGGTGGATCACTTAAGGTCAGGAGTTTGAGACCAGCCTGACCAGACCAGTGGCACATGCCTATAATTCCAGCTACTTGGGAGACTGAAGCACGAGAATCACTTGAACCTGGGAGGTGGGGGGGTGCAGTGAGCCGAGATTGTGCCACTCTAGTCCAGCCTGGGTGACAGAGTGAGACTCTGTCTCAAAAAAAGAAAAAGAAATACAATTGTGTTTGTATTGATTTTATATCCTGTAACCTTGATGAACTTATTACTTCTTTTTTTTTTTTTTTTTTTTTTTTTTGAGACGGAGTTTCACTCATGTTACCCAGGCTGGAGTGCAATGGCGCGATCTCGGCTCACCGCAACCTCCGCCTCCTGGGTTCAGGCAATTCTCCTGCCTCAGCCTCCTGAGTAGCTGGGATTACAGGCACGCACCACCATGCCCAGCTAATTTTTTGTATTTTTAGTAGAGACGGGGTTTCACCATGTTGACCAGGATGGTCTCGATCTCTTGACCTCGTGATCCACCCGCCTCGGCCTCCCAAAGTGCTGGGATTACAGGCTTGAGCCACCGCGCGCCCGGCGTTTATTACTTCTAATAGTTTTTTTTTTTTTTAAACTGGATTCCATTAGATTGTTTTGTATACAAAATCATGTTATCTGCAAATACATAGTTTTATTTGTTCCTTTCCAATCTGCATGCCTTTCCCTTCTTTTCTTTGCCTGTGTCCTGGCTCAAATCTCTAGTACAGTGTTGACTGGAACTGGTGAAAGCAGACATCCTTGTATCCTTCTTGATACCATGGGGAAAGTATTCAGTCTTTCACCATTAAGTATCAGGTTAGCTGTGTGTTTTCTATAGATTTTCTTTATGAGATGGAGGAAGTTTCCTTCTACTCCCAGTTTGTTGAGTGTTTTTGTAGTGAAAAATTTTGGACTTTGTCAAATACTTAATCTGCATCTGGTGAAATGATCATGTGGCTTTTTTCTTGTATTCTATTTATGTGGTGTATTACATTAATTTTTGTATGTATACATTTTTTTTTCAGACAGGGTCTCACTGTCACCCAGGCTGGAGTGTAGTGACACAATCAGGGCTCTCACTGCAGCCCTGACCTCCTGGGCTCAAGCGATCTTTCCACCTTAGCTCCCCAAATAGCTGGGACTACAAGCATGTGCCACCATGCCTGGGTATTTTTTTTTTTTTGGTATTTTTAGTAGAGATAGGGTTTCACTATGTTGCCCTGGCTGATCTTGAACTCCTGAGCTCAAGGGATCCTCCTGCCTCAGCCTCCCAAAGTGCTGGGATTATAGGTGTGAGCCACTGCACCTGGCATTTTTTGTATGTTGAACCAACATTGCATTATTGGCATAAATCCCACTTTGTCATTATATAGAGTCCTTTTTATATGTTTTTGGGATCAGTTTGCTGTTTGTTGTTGTTGAAGGTTTTGTTTTTATATTCATATTTATAAGAGATTTTTGTATTTAGATTTCTTGTGGTTAGTTTAATTTTTATGTTAGGGTAATACTGGCCTTACAGAATGAGTTGGGAAGGTTTTGTAGGTTGTGTCTTTATTTTGCATTTATTTGAAAATATTTTCTAATTTGCCTTGTGATTTCTTGTCTTACCCATTTACTGCTTCGTGTGTTCATCTTCCACATATTTGTAAATTTCTCAACCTTTCTGTTATTAATTTCTAATTTTATTCCTCGTGTTCATAAAACATGCTTCCTATGATTTCAGTTCTTTCAAATTTATTGATGGTTGTTTAATGAAGTAGCATTTAATCTATCCTGGAGAATTTTATTAGTGCACATGAGAAGAATGTGTATTTTGCTATTGTTGGGCAAAGTGTTCTCTAGAAGTTTGTTAAGTCTAGTTAGGTTTTCGTATTTTTGAAGTCTTATATTTCCGAAGTGTTGATTTTTTGTCTAGATTTAACCATTATTGAAAGTGAGTTATTGGCTGGGCGTGGTGAGTCACGCCTGTAATGCCAGCACTTTGGGAAGCCAAGGTGGGCAGATAGCTTGAGCTCATGAGTTCAAGACCAGGCTGGGCAACATATTGAGACTCTGTCTCTTAGAAAAAAAAAAAAAGAAAGAAAGTGAATCATTGAATTCTTCAATGTCTGTTGTTGGATTGTCTATTTTTCCCTTCAGTTTTGTCATTGTTTGTTTCATGTATTTGGGCTCTAGTGTTATGTGCATACATGTTTATAATTGTTATATCTTCTTGATTGATTGACTGGTATCATTATAAAATGTCCCTCTTGATTTCCATTGTCATTTTTTTTTTGGTTTAGAGTATATTTTGTCCTATTCTAATATAGCCACTCCAGGTTTCTGTTATCTTTTTCATATTAGCTTTTAACTTATTTGTGTCTTTGAATGTGAGATGTGTCTCCTGTAGACTGCATACAATTGTCTCTTTAAAAAAAATCCAGCTGGTTGTGGGGGCTCATGCCTGTAATCCTAGCAACTCAGGAAGCTAAGGCAGGAGGATCACTTGGGGTCAATATTTTGAGATCAGCCTGGGCAACATAGGCCTTGTCTTTACAAAGAAAAACAAAAATCAGGTTTCCACTCACACAACTTTGTATTGTTTAATGTATTTCTGTTCAATGTTATTATTGATATAGGTGGATTTACATCTGCCATTGTGGCTTAAAAAATTAGTCTCATGCCTTTTTCGTTGCTGTATTCCTCCTTAACTGCTTTATTTTGCATTCAGTGCTGTTATTGTTACACATATTTTATCTGTAATATTTAGAAATCCAACAATACATTTTTATAATAATTATTCTAGAGTTTTTGTAACTTTTAAAGAAGTTGATGGGTAAGAATAGGAAAAAAATTGAAAAAGAAAAACAATGAACATACAGAAACAACTTAAAAAAAGAAGTTGAAAGAAGGGAACAAGCGTACCTTTATAGCGTTTTTTAAGGTAACCGTTTTGGGTACGATTTCTGGTTCTTTTCATTTGTTTTTGTGGGTTCATTTTACCGTTTTGTGTTATTTTCTTACTTCATAATAGCTTTGTTTGTTCGTTTTGTGACAGAGTCTCACTCTGTCACCCACCCAGGCTGGAGTGCAATGGTGCTGTCTTGACTCACTGCAACCTCTTTCTCCTGGGTTCAAGCGATTCTTCTGCGTCAACCTCCTGAGTAGCTGGGATTATAGATATGCACTACCACGTCCAGCTAATGTTTTTGTATTTTTCATAGAGATGGAGTTTCACCATGTGGGCCCGGCTGGTCTCGAACTCCCGACCTCAAGTGATCCTCCCACCTCAGTCTCCCAAAGTGCTGGGATTACAGGCTTGAGTCATGATGCCTGGCCCATAATAGCTTTGTTTTAACTCACTTTTGTGATTATATTGGAAAATAAATTTTCTTTAGCTATGAGTCCTAAAATACCCCCCCACACACACAGTTTAATGCAATTGCTTTTTACATCATTTAAGAGAAGAAAGAAGAAGACATGTACATTTATACTTTTTCCTTTTTATTTTTTAAGACAGGGTCTTGCTCTGTTGCCTAGGCTGAATTGCAACAGTGCGATTTCGGCTTACTGCAACCTTGATTTCCCAGGATCAAGACAATCTTCCTACCTCAGCTTCCCAAGTAGCTGGGACTGCAGGCATGTGCTACCACTGGACCCAGCTAATTTTTTAAAACTTTTTTGTAGAGACGGGGTCTCCGTCTCTTGCCCAGGTTGGTCTTGAACTCCTGGGCTCAAGCAGTGCTTCTGCCTCAGCCTCCCAAAGTGTGGGATTACAGGTGTGAGCCACTATTCCTGGCCTATACTGCCTTTTATGATTATAGAATTTCCTTTACAAGAGATCTCAGTTTTAAAAACATTAGTTAATTACCTTTTTAGCAAGCATTTCTGTGAAAGAGAGATCTCAGTTTTTTATGTGAATTTGAATTACTCTCTGTGGTCAGCTGCTTTGAGTTTGAAGAAGTCCTTCAGTATTTCTTGAGTCCACTAGCAAAGGAATCTCTCAGTAGAATCTGGGTCTCAACTTATACAATTAAAATCAGCATCTTTGAGGGTACAGCCTAGGTAACGGTAGTTTAAAAAAATTGTATCATGTTATTATTTTTATTTTTTTGAGGCGGAGTCTCACTCTTGTGCCCAGGCTGGAGTGCAGTGGCATGATCTCTGCTTATTGCAGCCTCTGCCTCCCCGGTTCAAGCGATTCTCCTGCCTCAGCCTCCCGAGTAGCTTGGACTACAGGCGTGTGCCACCATGCCCAGCTAATTTTTGTATTTTTAGTAGAGATGGGGTTTCAGCACGTTGGCCAAGCTGGTCTCAAACTCCAGACCTCAGGCAACATGCCTGCCTTGGCCTCCCAAGTACTGGCTTTATAGGCGTGAGCCACCGTACCCAGCCAATTCTGATAATAAACCAAGGACTATAACCACAGGGTTAGATGATTTCCAGGATCTCATGTAGCTCTCACATTGTGTGACACTGTGGATAGATTTCTTAGTTCATGTTAAACCACATATTCGTAGCATATTAGTCTGACATAGGACTGTGGTTCTCAAAGCTTTGTCCCTAGAAAAACAGCATCAGCATCTCCTGGTAAAATGTTAACAGTGCAAATTCTTAGGCACCACTCTACGTGGATTAAATCAGCAATGGACATTCCTGCAAAGGACACAGCAGTCTGTGTATTAACAAACTCTGTCTCTCCATGCGATTCCACTGCACTATAAGTTTGAGAACTACTGGCATAAAGAAAGAGCATTGTGGGCTTTAGGGTCTGAGGACTTCTTATGAGTCTTGGAGAGGTATAAAGGGCCAGCTCTGCGGTTATTTTGAGCAACTTACATATTTTCACTGAGCCCCTTTTCTCTTTTTTTTTTTTTAAAGGAGAAGAAGAATATTTGCTTTTTCCGAACTCACATGGTTGTTGTGAGGCTAGACTGTTTATGTCAAAGTCCCTTTGTAAACTGCTAAGCACGTATGCACACAGAAGGAGTCATTGTGAGCAAGGGAACTACAATTCATTGAGCATTTGTTCTGGGACAGGAACTTATATTTGTTTATTTATTGAGACATGGTTTTGTTCTGTTGCCCAAGCTGGAGTGCAATGGCGCAATCTTGACTCACTGCAACCTCTGCATTCTGGGCTCAAATGATCCTCCTGCCTAGGCCTCCCAAGTAGCTGGGACTACAGGCATACACCACCATGCCTAACTAATTTTTGTATTTTTTGTAGAGACGGGGTTTCACCGTGTTGCCAAAGTCTCAAACTCCTGGACTCAAGGGATCCTTCCACCTTGGCCTCCCAAAGTGCTGGGATTACAGGCCTGAGCCACTGCACCCAGCCCGGAACTTTATATTTATTATTTTATTTAATTCATAGCCACTCTACACATAGTGAAATAGTTATTTAGAAATCCAATTTAGTTTTTGAATTGTATTGGAATTTATACATTGAAATTCAACATTGAAATATAATTATCTCAAAATCAGCTACATCAAAAAATCTAACTATATGGAAATTCTTCTATATCAAAATCTAAGTACACAAAGATCAAATTGCATCAAAGTCCAACAGGAGAGCTAGGAGAAAAACGGTGTATATGAAAATACTAAGAGCATTTTGTTGCACTCTCCCACCTCCTCAAAACAAAAGCTCAAAATCTTGTCTTGTCATATCAGTAGCTAAAGCATGTTAACACTTAGCTCTTACACTAAGCTGGTTACTTCTTTGACTTAGAGGAAGTTATGCTTCTTTACTGGACTGGACTTTAATCTATTTTAAAATTAATGGTTTTACAAAAATAAAATCTTTAAAATATCATTCTTACCTTAGTCTGTTTAAAATGTGCTGTTACAGCTTGGCATGGTGGCTCACACCTGTAATCCCTGCACCTTGGGAGGCTGAGGTGTGTGGATCACTTGAGGCCAGGAGTTCGAGGCCAGCCTGGCCAACATGGCAAAAGCCTGTCTCTAAAAAGACAAACATTAACTGGGCATGGTGGTGCATGCCTGTAGTCCCAGTTTCTTGGGAGGCTGAGGCATGAAAATCGCTTTACCCCGGGAGGCGGAGGTTGAGGTGAGCCGAGATGGCGCCACTGCACTCCAGGCTGGGGGATAGAGCTAGACTCTGTCTCCCACCCCTCAAAAAAATACTCATTTGAGATTAGGGAAAATTTCCCTGCCAACACTGACCCTTAAGAGTGGCATTAGGAGCTCTCAGAAGTCACTGGTTTTATTCTGAAATTAATAACACTTGTTTCCCAATAGAGAGGTACTCATCGTGAATTGGAGTATCTTGATGTTTTGTCACAGCCATTTCATATTTGAAGGTGCCTGTGTGTGTGCTTTATTTTTTATTTATTTATTTAGTTTTTTTGAGACAGAGTTTCGCTCTCGTTGCCCAGGCTGGAGTGCAATGGCGAGATCTCGGCTCACTGCAACCTCTGCCTCCCAGGTTCAAGAGATTCTCCTGCTTCAGCTTCCTGAGTAGCTGGGATTGCAGGCATATGCCACCACACCTGGCTAATTTTGTATTTTCAGTAGAGACGGGGTTTATCCATGTTGGTCAGGCTGGTCTTGAACTCCCGACCTCAGGTGATCTGCCCATCTCAGCCTCCCAAAGTGCTGGGATTACTGGCGTGAGCCACTGCGTCCAGCTGCATGTGTATGTGCTTTAAAACATTAATCTTATTGGATGAATATTATTACATTATGTCACATTTGCATGCATTCTATTATTTGTAGAGTTGGTGGTCTCACTATGTTGCCCAGGCTGGTCTGAAACTCCTGGCCTAAAGTGATCTTCCTGCCTGTACTGAGGTTATGGGCATGAATCACCGTTCCTGGCCTTTTACAAAATATTATTTATTTTTGCATGCATTTTATGGCCACTGTTATGTGTACCATGACTTGACAGGGGCTAGAATGTGAACTTGAACTTTTAGTATTTTGATTCCTTTCTCTGTAAATTTGAATGGACCTTGAGGCTAGCTAGTGATGGAGCATTCAGTCTCTGAAGAATATTGTTGCCTTGGCGCTAAAGAAATAAATTTGCTCCCATTTTCTATTATTCCTGCATCCAGGCAGCAGAATCTGCTTTATTTACCGAAGATTCATGTACAGGCGCAGCACCAGCCTGTGTTTCTACGGTTTGAAGGCTTTAAGCTCTTTGCTTCTTTGCTTATTTTTTTTTTTTTATAATTTCCACAAATTATCATTTAGAGCTAATAGAAATTGTTGGAAGGTTATAAAGATTTTCCCTCTATCGTTTTTTGGCCCAGAAATCTCCTGCTTTGTTCTCTCAAAGGCTGAGTCTTTAGCAGAGTCTCTGCCAAAAAAACTGGAGTTTTCCCCTGGGAATCAGAGGAAGGGCTCAGTATTCAGTAAATTTGAAAGACAAGCTTTTCAGATGTTAATAAGTCTAAACAGGACCCAGGAAGATCTGCAGTCTGGGAGGCAGATTAAATACCCAAGTGGTATAACGTTTCCCTTGGCTGTGGCCAGGTTCTTACTGTTGGTGATAACTTTAAGAAGGGATCACAAAGGTGCAATTTTCCCAACGGTCATCTCTCTGAACTTGGAATGCAATACAAGCTTCAAAAGTCACAGCAAGCCATAAGCACTGGCAACACCAGGCGCCTAATTTGGGTGCCAGATTTTCACATTTTCTTTGGGTTTCTCACCATGTCACTAACCCCAGCTGCTAGTGAATGCTTAACTGCCAGTTGCTGTCACAAACATCATGTTGAAAACATGAAAAAAAAAAAAGTTATCTGCTTTGGAAAGAGTGCAGGAGCCACAGCAAAAAGCTAATTAGTTATTTTCATCATCATCATTATTAATGCAAATTTAAAAGCAGTGTCATAAAATAGACATTGTGTACACATGTCCTCAAGATAAACATTTTGTCATATTTGCTTCAGATCGTTCTCATTCTTTTATTTTTTTTCTTTCTTTCTTTTTTTTGAGACAGAGCCTCGCTCAGTCCCAGGATGGAGAGCAGTGGTGCAATCTTGGCTCACTGCAGCCTCCGCCTCCTGGGTTCAAATGATTCACGTGTCTCAGCTTCCCGAGTAGTTGGGATTACAGTCACCCGCCACCACACCCAGCTGATTTTGTATTTTTAGTAGAGACTGGATTACACCATATTGGTCAGGCTGATCTTGAATCCAAGCCGCAAGCTATCCGCCCGCCTCGGCCTCCCAAAGTGCTGAGGTTACTGGCTTGAGCCACTGTACCTGGCCCAGATGGATCTCATTCTCTAAGTAAAACATAGAGATAGCGAAGTATGCATTTACCTGTTTCCCCAGTCCCTATTCCTTTCTCTCACCAAGGGCAGCCACAATCCTGAATTTGGTATTTATCCTTCTTGGCCATGCTTTCTGTTTATATATAATATTATAATCATTATGTAATATGACTATATATTAATACATACATATATAAGTGATTAATACAAAACATTATAATTAAGATATAAGTATTATATAATTATGTACTAAATTATATATAATCATATATAAATTATACGAGTACAATATAGTTTTACATAAATTACATAAATATAACTAAATTATATAAATATATAATTTTATGTATATTATAGAAGTATAATTTTACAGAATTATACATTTTATATTATATATGAGATATATATTAGACATATAGTAGATATATGCATTTGTTGTTTGTATCTATATATATGAAATAGAAAACATGGCCAAGAAGAATGTATGCCAAGTATATATATTTAAATATATTTAATATGTAATATATTTAATAAGTGTATTTAATACTTAAATATTTTTAGTTATATAAATATATAAATGCTTATATTTATAGAGACTACAAATATTGTGTAGAAATATATAAATATATGTTTGTGCTGGAAATGTTTTGTTTATTTAAATTTTTTTCACAAGTAGAATCATACTATATGTACTTCAACTTGTTTTTTTCTACTTAGCATTATTCTTTTTAGATTTTTAGATATTTTCATGTTCATATACAGTATATAGATATAATTCACTTTTCACTTTTTATTAAAGGGACACAGTCTCATTATGTTGCCCAGGTTGAGCTTGAATGTCTGGGCTTAAGTGATCTTCCGGCCTCAACCTCCCAAGTAGCTGGAACTATAGGCACTTGTCACCATGCCGGGTGTCAGTAACTTATAATACTAACTAGGACACTTCTGTTATGAATATTGTTGGGAAAATTATAAATTAAATCTCTTGCTAACGTAGAAAATCCTTTTCACAAATGTAGAAAAGAAAGAAAACCAGCCGGGAGTGGTGGCTCATGCCTGTAATCCCAGCACTTTGGGAGGCCGAGGCGGGTGGATCACCTGAGGCTAGGAGTTCAAGACTAGCCTGGCCAACATGTTGAAACCCTGTCTCTACTAAAAATACAACAATTAGTTGGGCATGATGGCGGGTGCCTGTGATCCCAGCTGCTTGGGAGGCTGAGGTGGGAGAATCGCTTGAATATGGGAGGCGGAGGTTGCTGTGAGCCAACATATCACCATTGCACTCCATGGTGGGTGACAGAGCTAGATTCCATCTCAAAAAAAAAGGAAGAAAGAAAAGAAAACCATTGTGTCACTGAAAGCATTAAATTAGACGTGAATGACAGGCAATACACTAATGAGACTGTAAGCATAGAAAGAAATGTCATATTTTTACATAGGCAAGAAGATACGATCCATTTATATATGTGTTTTCAATACAAAGCATAACTTGCTCTTCAGTTAGATTCGACAGCACTTTTGTTTTACATACTTCAGGCAATATTCACTTTGATGTGGCCCTATGTTGGTTAATTGCCTTTATCCAAAGAAAAACAGTATAACTTCTCTTGTCTATATGCCCAGAAGGCATAAGATTTAAAGCAAGGACTTAAGCTAAACTCCCTGATGTAACAAGGAGATATGGGGTGTACCTATCTTGATGTTAATGTTTCAAAGAGATGGATCCCAGGTCCTTAAGAAAAATATTAGGTGGTCATGCTGGCAAGAGGCTTATTTAGCTCTTAAAAACATTTGCGTAGTTTTTAAGAGCTAAATAAGCCTCTTGTCAGCATGACCATCTAATATTTTTCTTCTACTCGGGAGGCTGAGGCAGGAGAATTGTTTGAACCCGGGAGGTGGAGGTTGCAGTGAGCCGAAGTCAAGCCACTGCACTCCAGCCTGGCACCTGGTGACGGAGTGAGACTCTGTCTCAAAAAAAAAAAAAAAAAAAAAAAAAATTTGCATAGTTATCAAAAATTGGGAAAATTATTGGCCAACATGTTGAAACCCTGTCTCTACTAAAAGAAAGGTGGCTTTGTAATATCCTTTTCTTGAGGAAATGCTCTAAGAAAAGGAAGAAGAGAAATGCCTTTTCCTATTCAGCAACTGGGAACATTCAATCCTACTATGTACTACA